GTTCTAGAACTAAAGGGGAAAAACCCAAGAACTAATAGCGAAATAGCTCTAGTTCTGAGAACTAGAACAACAATAAATCAGATATTATACATATAATCTTTGATAGAATCCAGTGGAACCAAAGCTTTAGGAATTATAGGCAGTATCAGGACATTTTTATTGTAGTAGACTATACTATTTGGAATCCAGAGGAGTCCGACATGGGCTCGAATTTTGTACAGCCGTACAGATGTCTGGATTCCTGCGGGGCTGGGCTTCCTCATACAAACACAATGCATTACCACTTGCTACGGCCCTGGGTTGGGGAATGGGGAACTTTAGGCATTTTAAAAACACTACTGTTTTATGAATATCAATGACAAGCATAGAAGTGTAAAAATTATCCTAAGATTGATTTCAGCACCTTAGGCTAAGAAATAAGGTGCTGAAATCAATCTTAGGATAATTTTTACACTTCTACGCTTGTTATTGATAAAGTAAATAAAGCTCAAAACTTTGTTCTGCTTCCAACCCGCCATTTTCTTTGTTGTGAAAACATCCACTTTACGTGGTGGGCAGGGCTGGCGGCATGTGTATACACATAGATATTAGAGTAAATGAAATTTACTTACTCTAATTATTCATTTATTCATTTACTTACTTATTTACTTATTACTTATTCATTTACTTATTATTCTTACTTATTCATTTACTCTAATATCTATGATACATGTAAACTGTCTTTATAATTATTATTGTTATATCTGTGTATAGAAGATAAGAAGAAATGTAAGTGTTTACATACAATCATGGTATGTAGTACCTATGATACATTCAATCAATTATGCATCATGGGGGCTAAATTCAATCTTAGGAATGACCTTGGGGCTTAATTTTTTGCTCCAAGGTCGTAAAAAGAACATAATGGGCAAAGTTTTGAGAATTTCAAAAAAGAATGGACTAGTAGGAAGCAATTTATGATTTTCGTAGTCAAGTCATGTTACTAGTCAGTGGTATTTAATGGTAACAAATGTGCATGCATGGTGATTGAAGACACATCATGTAATGCATTAAAACTTAAAAGATGCTATAAATACATGAAGCTAGTCATTCACAGTGGAGTTAAATGCCCACAGCTTACTTTTTCTACACAAATGCAATC